TTATTCAGCTTTCAGATGATGTATAAATCAATCTCAAATAAAATTGACCCTTATGACTGGTTTTGTGGTCCAGGGTCACATATGAAGAATATGCCGGAAAACCAAAAAAATATGCAGGATCTGGAGTATTTTTCTGAAGAACAGTGGGCATTTTAACTGTTCAGGACAAACAAGGGACTCATGCACAGCCTTCAGAAAATGAGAAAAACACTCGTGGATCATTCAGGTAACAGAATATTAAGAACGCTAAATAAAAAATAACATGCGATTTGTATGATTCCTCTTATGTTGTTCAAATTACTAACATTTTTGCAGATTCTGCAAGGGCAGCGCAAAACTGTAAGCACAAACAAGCACAGCAAACCTGGATTTTTTTGTTTTGTTGAACATTTTGAATTGCACTTGCAATCAGAAAAAAATCACTTTTTCTGCAAATCATGCAGCTCTATTCACTTTCATGTTTTTTATCAAAATAATCTGTGTTTCCAGTATCTGAACCTGCTTGAGAACTGCTGTGGCATGAGAGAAGCTGCTGTACTGACACTGATCCAAGATATATCTGAGTCCACACACACACAAGCCAATGGAAATCCAGTGTTATTCCCACCAGTCGCAACACAAATAACACAACCAGCTGTTTAACTCAGGTTTTCCAGCACAGTTTTGAGACGGCCAGTCTCAGACTACTTGACCTTCATCACATGAGCAGGTGAACATATGCGAGCCGTCTCTGCTGAAGCTGAGTTTGTGTTGGATCTGGTCTTGTAAATGTCAGAATATAAACCGAGTCAAATATTTGACCCAGATTTGTAGCTGAACGTGCTGGAGAGTATGAATCAGACCAATCTGATGTCTACACACACAAACTCACATTACCCATGAGAAGGAGTCTGACGTTATACAGTGTAAGACGTTTTTAGCAAGAAAAGGGGAAACAAAACACATCGGAAATGGTTTGGGAGCTCTATTAAATCCTATAGACTATAGTATGACAATTCTGAAGTACAATTCTATTTACTCACCCTCATATAGTTCTAAACCGGTATGACTTGATTTCGTATGTGGAACACTAAAGGAAATGTTTAGCTTAATTTAACCATGATTCATTTAACTATCAGCTTCAGACATTTTTCCTAGAACCCCTCAGTAGAAATAAAACCAACCCGAATGAGTCAATACAAATGAATTTGGAGCAGCTCAGATCATATTGAGACGTTTGATTGCAGACTTTGGTGTTTTGGCAAATCTGAGCACAGTTTGAGACACTATTGAGATCTCTTTCAAAACTCTAGAAGATACGTGCAATTTCTGGGGTCTTTTTTTTTTAGAAGAACAAGCTCTGAGAAACAGGAACTTAGTTGCCAGATATTCTCATTTTTAGCATTCAAACATCTCATTTTGTGCTCCACTAAAGATCAGTCGTACTGGTTTGAGTCCGAGAAAATGATGACAGTGAACGAACCCTTTAACAAACCCTGTGACATTTCACATGACCTATGACCTTTAGTCACTACAGTGTTATTATAGTAACATAAGTGCCGTTCATTATCCAATGTGAGTAGATTCGCTTTGTTTACATTCAGTCCAGAACTATCAAGCTCAAACTGGATCTAAAGAAAGGTCGTACATGCCGTTGTATACAAAAACATGACAACTCTTATGTTAACGTCACTCTGTGGTCCGCCAGAGATTTTCCTGTTAAATCACAATCATGAAGCTGGATTTAGTCACAGGCCTCATCCTGTTCAATTTCCTCTCTTCAGTCAAAACACTGTAAGTTGACGTGTAAGTCATGGTTCTAGTAATATAGACTGCTTTTGCTGTGTGACCTTATTATTGAGTTTATTGGGAAGTCTTTAGAGAAATAATGCGACTTGGATTTTCACTTTGGCAGTCAGTGAGAGTGCTGGCTTTGATTTGATGAAGGAATAGTCCACCCAAAAATGTAATTTATGTCATCATTTACTCACCCATATGTTGATCCAAATCTGTATGATTTTATTTCTTCTACAGAACACAAAAGTCATGGAAAAAAACAAACAAAAATCATTTTCCACAGAAGAAATAAAGTTTGAGTAAATAATGACAGAATGTTCATTTTTGGGTGTCTAATTTTTTTGTGTTAAAATACTTTAACATGCAGAGTCACTATAAATAAATCACTAGTAGTTTGACTTCCTAAAACGTGTAAATGCACTGGTTTAACCAATGGCGTATGTTGGGGCAAGACTTCAGTTAGTCATTTGTTTTTGCGCAAAAATGACACACTTATTCATCTTTTGGCAACAGTTTGACGAAATCTTGCTTAAAATTAGTTAAACGGTTGACATTTTATATCCAGACAGACATTTGAAGGAAACTCTTAAGCACTGAGGTTTGTTACCGCAACATTAACACACACACACACACACACACACACTGTATATTCAGGACCTGCATGAGTTGGCTGAGCAGGTTATTAAAGATGCATTTCTGCACCTTGCATCTTTTCCTATTGTAGCTGGTTCATAAGATCATAGATCTGGGTTACGCTAAAAAGCTGGACCAGAGCAGCCTGTGCACATCGTTTGTTGGGACGCTGCAGTATTTGGTGGGTACAACATTGGATCTGTGCAAAATGCAAGACTTCTCATTGTCACAGACTCTCATCTATACTGATATAAAGTGTTTTCTCTCTCAGGCCCCTGAGCTGTTAGAACAGCAGAAGTACACGGTGGCGGTGGATTACTGGAGTTTTGGGACGCTGGTGTTTGAGTGCATCACAGGATTCAGGCCTTTTCTACCAACCTGGCAACCCGTGCAATGGTGTTTATTCCCTCAGCTCTCTGTGAAGCATGGCACTGTGTTCATTTCCACACCAGCAGCTCATTATCCGCTGGTGTCTCAGAGCAATTCGGTTTAGTAAATTCTGCTTCAAACAAAAGTTGCATTTGGAAACACAACATGCGCCAACCATCTAATGTTAAAATGATTAACATTTTCGCAGATTCTGCAGTGGGTATGTAAACTCTTGAGCAAAACTGTAATCACAAAAATTTTTTTTGCACATTTTAAATTGCACTTGCAATCAGAAAAATCGCTTTTCTGCTAATCGTGCAGCTCTATTCAGTTGCATGTTATCATCAAATGAATCTCTGTGTTTTCAGTATCTGAACCTGCTTGAGAACTGCTGTGGCATGAGAGAAGCTGCTGTACTGACACTGATTCAAGATATATGTGAGTCCGCAGACACCAGCCAATGGAAATCCAATGTTATTCCCACCATTCGCAACACACATAACACATGCAGCTGTTTAACTCAGATTTTCCAGCACAGTTTTGAGTCGGCCAGCCAGACTAGTTGGCCTTCATCATGTGAGCAGGTGAACATATGCGAGCCGAACGCCTGTGCGGTGGCTGCGTCTGTTTATGTTTCTGCTGAAGCTGAGTTTGTGTCGGATCTGGTCTTGTAAATGTCAGAATATAAACCGAGTCAAATATCTGACCCAGATTTGCAGCTGAAAGTGCTGGAGACTATGAATCAGACCAATCAGATGTCTACACACACACAAACTCACAGTACCCAAGAGAAGCAGTCTGACGTTATAGAGTGTAAGACGTTTTTAGCAAGAAAAGGAGAAACAAAACACATCAGAAATGGTGTGGGAGCTCTACTCAAAATTATAGATTTAAAATAGATATTTAATCCAGAAATGGCAATTCTATCATCATTTATTCACTGTCATGTCATCCCAAACCTGTGGAGCCTATGGAGATGTTTAGCTTAATTTAACCATGATTCATTTAACCGTCAACTTTGCTTTAGAAACGTTTCCTAGAACCCCTCAGTAGAAATAAAAACAGACCCAAATGAGTCAATAGTTGTCAATCCAGAACAATCAAGCTCAAACTGGATCTAAAGAAAGGTCATACATGTCACCGTGCCGTACACAACTCTTATGTTAACGTCACTCTGTGGTCCGCCAGAGATTTTCCTGGTAAATCACAATCATGTGAAAACCTGGATTTAGTCACTGGCCTCATCCTGTTCAATTTCTGCTCTTCAGTCAAAACATTGCGGTTCTGAATGATCTCTGTGAACTTAGTGCTTGTCTGTCAGTTGATGTGTAAGTCATGGTTTCAGTAATATGGACTGCTTTTGCTATGTGACCTTATTATTGAGTTTATTGGGAAGCCTTTAGAGAAATAATCTGACTTTACTTGGAATTTCACTTTGGCAGTCAGTGAGAGTGTTGGCTTTGATTTAATGAAGGAACAGTCCACCCAAAATGCCATTTTTGTCATCATTTACTCACCCATATGTTGATCCAAATCTGTATGGTTTTATTTCTTCTGCAGAACGCAAAAGTCATGGGGAAAAAAATACAAAAATCATTTTCCACAGAAGAAATAATGTTTGACTAAATGATAAAAGAACGTTCATTTTTGGGTGAACTATAGAACGGGAGTTATTTTGTCAGTGTTAAAATACTTTGACATATCTGAGCCACTATAAATAAATCACTAGTTGTATGACTTCCTAAAAAGTGTAAATGCAGTGACACTGGTTTAACCAATGGCGTACGTTGGGGTGAAACTATCAGTTTGTCTTTTAATATTTGCACAAAAATAAGACTCTTCCTCATCTTTTGGCAACAGTTTGAAGAAATCTTGCTGAGTAAGGTAGTTAAAATGAGTTAAACTGTTGACATTTTATATCAGGACAGACATTTGAAGGAAACACATTAACACACACTGTACATTCTGGACCTGCACGAGTCGGCTAAGCATTTGTGTCTAAAATTCTATTCATTATCTCATTACAATGTAAATATAACTAATACATGAGCATTTGAGAAGGCCATATTTGAGTTGTTAATTAAAAATCTCTCTCTCTAGCCTCAGCACTGACGTACCTCCACGGGATGAGGATTATTCACAGAGACCTCAAACCAGAAAACATCGTCCTTCAACAGGGAGAAAAACGGGTGAGATTCACTAAACAATAATGTTTCATAAAAAATGCATTTCTGAAAGCATTTAGATGGCATTATTACCTTGCTAAATTAAAGATGCATTTCTGCATCTTGCATCTTTTCCTATTGTAGCTGGTTCATAAGATCATAGATCTGGGTTACGCTAAAGAGCTGGACCAGAGCAGCCTGTGCACATCGTTTGTTGGGACGCTGCAATATTTGGTGAGTACGACATTACATCTGTGCAAAATGCAAGACTTCTCATTGTTCCCACTCTCATCTATACTGATATAAAGGCATTTCTTTCTCTCTCCTGCTGTCTGTGTGTCTCTCTCAGGCCCCTGAGCTGTTAGAACAGCAGAAGTACACGGTGGCGGTGGATTACTGGAGTTTTGGGACGCTGGTGTTTGGGTGCATCACAGGATTCAGGCCTTTTCTACCAACCTGGCAACCCGTGCAATGGTGTTTATTCCCTCAGCTCTCTGTGACTGAATTCTACATTTGATTTGATGTTTCTCGATTACATTGGTGGTTCTTGGTGGCTCCTCTGTGTCCACAATAGTCACCACATGTAGGCTAATAATAGGTTTCATATGGTACTAGCCTAGGCATGTCACGATAACAACTTTTTGTTGTGCGATATATTGCCCCAGAAATAATAGCGATAAACAATATTATTGTCATTTTAAGACCATTTTATGCCACTGAATATAGAATCATAATATAAAAGCATAAGAAGGCCAACACACTTTCAAATAACAATAAACTTTTCATTCTTAAGAATATTTAGATCATGGAAATTAAGTATCAAAATATTAGATACCTTAAAAAACATGAATAAATAGTAAATAAACAATTTCTAACAAAAAGTGCAAAGTAACAAGTAGAAATCCACATCAATCTACACTCCATACACCATAATGGTAAAGCAAAAAAACAGTTTTTAACATATTTGCAAATTTATAAAAAATATTGCATAAGTTGCATAAGTATTCATACCTTTATATGGGACAGTTAAAATTTAGCTTAGGGGCATTCATATTGCTTGTAGATGTTACTACACTTTGAGTGATGTTAAGCTGTGGCAAATTTAATTGAATGGCTATGATTTGGAAAGGCACACACGTCTTAATAAAAGGTCTAACAGCTGATAATGCATAATTTTGTTACTTTATTTTTGTAACAATTTTTTATTTAGTTTTAGTTATTTTTGTACTTCAAGTTAAATGTAATGTTGCCTTGGCAACTAGCTGAAGTAAAATAAGGTTAGGTTTTTTATATTTACTTTTTAATAATTATTATAATTTTTTAAATATTTTATTTCATTTTAGGTAACGTTTATTTTGTTTCAGGTAAAAAAAAATTTTTTTTATGGTTTTAGTTTTAGTCAGTGATAATAACCCTGATATTAACATACTCATAACGACAATGTAGCTCATGTGGTTAATCTAACTCAAGCGTCAACCTCCCGCTCTCTCTCTCTCGTGAAGCCAACACGGAAGTGACTTAAACTGTAATTCATCAACTGGCCGCTAGAGGCTGGCTGCAAAAGGGAGGCAATCCCATAGACTCCCCATGTTAAAGGGGTCATATGATGCGATTTCATTTTTTCCTTTCTC